TCGTCAAAGTAGAACCCATCGGGCGAAAATTGGCTCTATCTCTCACCGTTTAGGCGCTGGAGGGTCTTTTTGGAGTTATGTATTTTAAAGAAACTCTGAACAGTCTTTATATTCATGTTGATGTGAGTAACGTCCAACTTTTTCGGTTCTCTACAATGGTAGAGAGAGAATGTGGTTGTTATCTTCATGCAATTTGTCGTACAGAAATCCATGTCAGATGATGAAGCTGTGCGTGCAGGCAGGAGCAGAAGGATCCTCACTGCTCTCTTATTATTGTGAAAGGTAAATTCTCAATCTAAACTATATTCCTGTAAATTAACTTCAATTTCTATACTGCTCTTTTGTTTATATTTCTACATTTCACTGATGATTTGACGAAGGGGTTTAAGTCCACTTGAGCTAATTTGTCATGAGGGCTAAGAGTGAGTCTAATTCTAGTCTAGCTGCTACAGTTTCAAAGCGACGTAGCTCTCAAGCGCATTCGTTGTGAAGTGGCAGGCTGGAACTGCCGGCTGGAGGTTGGAGGTTGCCGTCCCTCCCCTCGCCACCTCTCGTCCGCGGCTCGCCTTTCCCATAAGACTCCTGGCTCGCCCGTGGCTCTCGTGAAGTCACAGGCCGAGATGGACGAGCCGCGGGTGGCCCGAGAGCCACGTAGCCGGGACCTCTGCATAGGGTATTCCAAAGGATAAAGATCGAACTGTAAGCCGCTTTCCAATAAAAGTGAAGGTCTGAAAAGTAAAACAAAGAGGCGCTGCTCCCTTCCAAACGGAATTCGATTTAGGTAGTTCTATCATTATTAATTTTGTAACGATATATGGCTTTCCCCGAGGTAGCCATCCGGATTTTGGTAGCCCTCTAGTTGTGTCAGTGTTTTATAGCGCTGTCCGAGAGATGAGGAAATGGAAGGTAGGTTTCTGGTTCTCCGAGCGCGTGCCGAAAACCGTTTGAACTTTGTATACGAAGACTGGTTAATTATTTCTAAATTATTCCATTCGTTCAGTTTTCACACTAATAAAATATGAAGTGTATGTGATAAGAAACTAATGCGTATTTTTTTATTACCGCAATAATAGTATATTGTAGTAGTATAGTTGTACAGTATAGAAGTATAGTAGTAAAGTATAGTATAGTGCACCATGGTGCACTGCACTATAAACAGCATTGCTGCTGACCGAGAACAAAATAATTTTTGGCAAAAGGGCGGGATCAAAACAGTAACGGTGTAAGATTGCCGAATCGAATTGTCACGTCACCGTGTATTTGATCACAGTCTTGTTTGCCCAGGCTATGGCGTACAGACAGCTTGACATCGCACCAACTGAGGCCTGTATATAAGTTAGACTGCTCGTACTGAAGAGTTTCTCCTGACTAAAATGGCTCGTTTTTCGCTAACCCTCCTCGCACTGGGTGCTGTGCAGGTTGGTGCCACCGCGGGGTGGGTGACTTCAGTACATGTCACAAGCAAAGTGTACTCCTTGTTGTATTCATAGCTTACATGGTCTTCAGGGCGTCGAGTCGAACTCCATCCGATGAGCTCTCGTGACTCTTTTATTCAATATTTTCCTCTCTGTTTTTTTTTTTTTTTTTCGTACAATCAGGTATTTGCGACACCTGAGCCCCTTGTTTTGAGCTTGGCTCGTGGGGCGGTTCAGGCAGCTCAAACCAATGTGGGAAGAGCAGCAAACCTTACCAATGCGGCCGTGCGCGCGGGGAGCGATGGTGTCAACCTGATTCTGGACGCCGCTCAGGTAAGGGGCCCGCGAAAGATCATGCAACAAAAGATGCTGCTAAAAAATTCACTTGTATTTTCTTAGTGTGATATTTACATGAAACCGCTTTGCAATCAGCTAAGAATGCTGCAGCGGCTGCAGCTTTTGCATTGTAAAGGAAAGTAAAACACGTCGTGGTGTTTAAAAACTTGCCTGGCTTTTACCAGGTCGTTGGTACTGTATATATTTGGTTCGCAAACATAGTTGGTATACACTGTAATTTACAGAAGCTTTGTCGCAGGGACTGGAGGCCGTCGAGTCCAACTTTGTCCGAGGAGCTCTCAACACGGGCAGGGGTTTTGGCAGTGAACTGCTCACCCAGACACGCAATGTGGCAAACAACCTGCGCAGCGGTCTGCTCCGCCAAACTGTAAACCGAGGTGTTGACGTAGCTCAGAGAACCCTGGATACCGGAGTCAACGCGGCCATTTTGGTTGCCAACACTACCCAGGTATCATCCCGCGCCAACGTGCTCTTCTGCTTTGTAAAAGCTATGTCGGCCCGTGTATTATGCACGGAACAAAATGACTTCGTTTTGAGGATCAATTATGTTTGGTAGGCTAAAGTCGATAGGAGGAATCGAGAATTCGATACCAAAAACCAGGAGTTGGTTGCTACGACCGGACACTTGTACGAATAGAACAAAACCCTGCTTGGTTCTATTCGTACAAGTGTCCGGTCGTGGCAACCAACTCTTGGTTGTGAGTATCGGATTCTCGATTCCAGCTATCGAATTCAGCCTACCAAACAGAACTGATCCCCAAAACAAAGTCATTTTTTCCCGTGTGTCATCGGCATGGGGTCTGTTCTCCGCCAAAAACCTGTGCTGGAAGTCTAAAAGTTTTCTGGTGTATCAAGCGGCACTCCTGGACTATCCTGGACCAGCATAAACCAAAATAACAAGCTAAGCCTGCCCTTCCGCCAAACGAAGGTGTCAGCTTCACGTCGGTCCGCAGGCAACTCCGTTCGGCAGGGGCCGGGCCGAGCTTTGGCCTGCCGGTGGCGTTTGGTCGGGCCTGTGGCCCAACCTATAAGTCACTCTGCATATTTCAGTGAACTAATGCTTCCGGGGGGAGGGGGGGGGAGCTGCGGCCCTAAAGATTTGCTCCTTAGATATGACAAAAGACTGTCACGGGGCAACGCCGTGACCACACTCTACTGTTCTGCTTTGCTACTTTTTTTTAAGTTTTCAGCTTGTATTGTTTGTCAAACAGTCTTAAAACTTGACTTTTGGCCATTGTTTTAAATATATCCACATCTAGCTCCGATACAGTTGAAGATAGCCTACAGCGAATCCTAGGGTGGTTCCCGATGTAGAATGTGCTGTTCTTTGTGGTTGTTTTTTTTTGTTTTTTTTTGTTTTTTCCGAGAGGGGGGGGGGGGTTCTTTCCTCTGACATTTTACGATTGGACGACTCCTTGTAGTCTTTATGTGCAACGTGGTCATTTTCACCGTATTCTTGTCGAAAAAACCACTCTAGCGCCTAAACGGTGCAAGTTAGAGCCAAACGGCCAAATTTTAGTGCGAATGGTTCTACTTTAACGCATTACCCCCATGGAAATCCATAGAAAAATTTTCCTACTCTTTGGAACAGCCCCTATTTATTGTGCCCCCCTTCCACCCCCTTAGGGATGGTTGACAGGATTTGCCGTAGGCGTTTCGTTTTCAGTGAGTGAACCTTAAAATACCATGAAATTTTTAGACCTCTATATAGTTCATCTCCTACCTCCTACACGCACGACGACGGACAGACGTACAGACATGGGGACGGTTGCATAAGCCCGCTTTAACGCTATCTTAAAGCAGAAGGGCGGGGTAAAAACGGATAGCCCAGTCGTTATGTTGAGCTTTTAGCTTTATAAGCTACGAAGCACTGCTTTGCAAATGTTTTACAGAGCTGTCAAAGATGTAGTAATGGTTTCAATTCGTCGCAGGGAATGGTTAACGGCACAGTAGCAATCGGCAAACGGTTGAGCAGCCGGGTGTCCGGCCGGGCACAGAATGCCATCAGCGGCGTTAGTCGCGTCTCGAAGTGGGCCCTCACTGTCAAGGACAACGCCCTGGCGGCTGTGCAGGGCTTGCTGCCGTCCCGACGCACCAGCCAGTGAACAAACAGGAACAGCTGCAAGATTCTCGCGCGTACACCGAGGGGTCCCCCACTCTGCAAGTGGGTGTACAATGAGTTGCGCGAGTGTCCGCGAGTATACGAGAGTATTAGCGAGTATCTAGTATCCGCGCACAGTTAAAACCTTACGAAGCAAAATGCCAAATTCTTCGTACCTACGAAGGATTTGCTCCTTACGAAGCTTCCAAATCCTTCGTGCTACGAATTATTTGGCATTTTTCTTCGTAAGATTGTAACAGTGCGAGTTTACGCGAGTATCTGCTAGTATTTAGCGAGTGTTTCTCGATTTTTCGCGAGGTTCCGCGAGCTGTCATGTCGCGAGTTTTTCGCGAGTAATCGCGAGTATCAGGCGAGTAATTTTCCTCATGTACAACGAGGTGGTGAGTGGCAGACCCCTCGGCGTACACTGTACGCACTCTAATACGCAACCGGAGTCTGATCCCTCAAAAAGGAAGAAAAGGGAGAAACATATCTATTGCCTAGTCTTATTCCGCTTGATAAACTATGTCATTGTGACAGTTGGCATTGAGCTGAGACAAAGAATCATGAAAAGAAAACAACTTCAATCCAAACGAACATTACGTTTAAAATTATAGAAACAAAAATGTACATTTCCGTAGTTTAATGTGTTTCGAAGAAAGTAAATAAAACTAAGGAAAAATGCTACACTAAAATATGTTACATTGCTACCCCACTGCTGCAAAATACTTCAGTTGAATTAGTTTGACCAATACGACTGGTTGGCTGAGCGATAAGCGAAGCCCATTACTCCACTGACCGGAAAAGTTTCATTCTGTTTGTTTGTCTTTTCGCACGATAACTCGAGAAAGATTTTCAGGGTCGTTTTGAATCATAGAAAGACAGATCGAGTTCAAAGATGAGCATTCTAGCTCAAAAATTGACTTTTTTAAAAATCAAAAACCACGGGTCGCAAAATATTTGTTTTTGTTCAAATATTTTGTTATGGGTTTCTAAGATGTGGAAGTAGACTTCTTTGAGCGAACATTTCGTCCGTTTTCCCCTATCTTGTACCGTTTCGGTGCTATGGGACATTTCTTCGCGAAAAAAACGTAAAAAAGAAAAAAAAATGGTCTTTTAAATTGTAAAAAAGGCTTCATGTCACAGAATTGTGAAGGGAGTATACTTAAATCACACATAAGGGGTCAAACCACACCCTCTTTTGGGCTTAAGGGTCCCTTGATTATCTAGTATTACTGACCCGTTGATTTTTACATAACAATCTGTCAAAATTCGAACTTTTAATGAAAACCTTTATCGAACAGAAGACGTTTCATGTCCGTAATTTTAGAGTAATGTGTCCCCGACAAACGCTGTCAGTATGTCAAATTTTGGTGACGAAAGGCGCTGTTCCCGTATACCCTCCCATTAACTCCTCTCGGGTGTCAGCTCCGTAGGCCTAGCTATAAGTGCGCCACGCGCGTCGCAACGTAACAGTGTTTCGTGAGATATCGCGAAGCCTGTTACGCGAGACGTGTTCTGGCGTACATGTAGCTAGTATTTAGTCCTATGTACGTCAAGAAATATAACAATTTTAGGGTCAACCCAACACTATAAAAACAAATATAACAAAAGTTCAGCGTCATCCCAACAAACCCAGAAACAAATATGAAGTAAGCACACTTTTAGGCATAAACGAAACAATTACAAAACCAACAGTATACACATAATACACATTACACAATACAAATTAAACCTGGGTCCAGGGTTTCATTCAGAATTTACTCTCACATTTTTACAAGTAGCACACAGCACACCACTTCAACAGCACTGATCATTTTACATAGAATGCCATTTAATATTTACAGAACACAAGAGGCATTTCATTTTAACACTTTCACTACACATTTTGGTAGAAGTAAGTCGCATGGTGAGGCTTGAGGTGAGGGACGAAGGGCAACTCGGTCTAGGCTAGGTCAAGGTCACATTGTAACGGTGGAAAGAGCGGTCGGCGGCAGGGGAGTAGAAATTTTAGGTTTTAGCCACTCATGGTAGAGATTAATGTCCAAACCCTCTCACACACGAACATCGCAGCGGTACACAGTTATCCTAACCAGACCAGTAGTCGCGGGAAGAATGGCGAGTCGGTAGCGAAAAAATCGGCTGATTTGGGTGCTCAGCTGATGTGAGCGCAGCCGGTGTGTGAGGGGGTGGCCTACCTGCACGGCGGTAGGCACCGCTTTCTGTGGCGAGCGTGTCAATGTCTCGGGGGCCAATTTGAAAGGGCCGCAGGCCCGCCTTGAAGCTTAAGGTGAGGGGGTGGGTGTAAATGGCAACTACTGGAAGGAGGTTTAGTTGAGAGTGCATATTCCTAGGTTATGATGGGCTAAGGCTGCAGCGTCTTTACACTACGCCCCGTTACAATTTTTGAGATCGTTTGGGAAAAAGGGCATTTTCCAGCTAATTTTACCTGTATTACAGAAAATCAGGCGCGCAACGATTGAGGCCATAAACATGTCGCACTAGGTGTTTTAGCTGCCTTTCCTACAATACTATAATGTTACAGTGAGATATTTTCTATAACTATTACGTTTGAAAAAGAAAAGATTATTTACTGTTGCAGTTTTCAAAACTTAAGTGAACTTTCGTTTGTTACTTTACAAAAAAATATGAGAGTTATGTTAGTTTCGAATTAAATGTTTCCGGCTCGACGCAAAACCTGCGAGGGACTTGAACGCGAACCATAAACCGCCATAAACATTATAGTACTACTACTGGCCGAGTTTCGGAACTACCCTAGAATTTATCACCCAGCATGCGTATTGGTTTTCAGCTTTGCCCATCAGGACCCTTATCCTGTACTGCCCATAAGGTATGATTGGGACAGTTGGAGAACCCCAGTCAATTGTGTCATTATCGACCTTGTAAACTCCCTGTAAATAAAAGTCATCACAGCTTTCACATTTATTATTATTTCAGGTTTGTAGCACCGCAACAGTTTTCACTAGCCACAAGTACGAGAAAGAAAAAAAATATCTGTATGGCTAGCTCTGACCTCCAGTCTTAGCGTACTTACAGGTTTAAAATGTCTTGCGTCTTTATCGTCCCCCTTCTTGAGAAACACCTCATAAAATGCAGGTATATTTTCTTTTATAACCCGGTAGGCATTCTTTTTAAAATGGAACACAAAGGCGTTTTCCTTCCATTGGTTGTTTGACCGAGTATCCGCAATTATTTTAATCTATAAAAAAAATTCCATTCGTAATGATCCATTCTCATTTTTGCCCTTCGCCCACGTCTGCTCTATAAATGTGCGGCACCCAAATACTAAAAAGTGTGTGCCGTAAATTTTAAATTTTTACACACACTAGTGTGTAACCGTTGTGCCATGCATACAACAAGTAAGAAGTGTGTGACCAGTAGTGGACGAAAGCTTACATTAGCAGGTGTTTGATTGACCCCGCTCGGACATCGTTATATGTAGTATGTACTGCAAGCAAGCCCCCTCTGGCCTATTTGCAGTAACGCCGTACTGCGTATTACCAACCCTTGGCGTATGCGCAGTATGGCCTGTACGTTCGCTTATACTGCGCACATCTTCCCATTGTGTTAATTGCAGTACATATACTGTACTTAAATGCTCTTCGTTGTATTTGCAGTGCAGCCTCTATTTTCCTCGCATACTGCAGCTTAATGCCTTTAATGCTATTTACAGTATTCACAAAAGTACCGCAAACAGGCGAGATTATTAGCTTGATATGTTCCCATCGTGGTTAAAAATGGACAACACAGACGAAATGATCTTATTCTTGCTTACTCATAAGAACCTGTGAAAATTTTACATTTTGAAGTAAGTAAAATTGAAGAAAGCGCCAAAAAAACATAGGTAGGGACACAGAACACACGCGCCACCACTCAAAGGCTAACGTGGAAAAATCCGCCCAGTATATTGCCAAATTGCGGAAGTTTCCACTGATTGGACCATTAAGGCGACAAGAATTTACTAATTCGGCCAATAATTTGATGAATTCAAACTCCATTTTTGGTGCATTGTTCTAGTTCTGTTTTTTGGACTGGCAACATTGCGCTGTGACTCGCCAATTTGGCGCCAACGCAAAGCCGCGAAGATCGAGAAGAGCCGATATCCCCGTTGTACAAAACTCCGCTGTCCGCTGTTTAAATCGTTAGGTTCGTGGGTTTCTTTTCCAATCTGTCCGCGGATACCCGCGGCGGGCCATGGACACGGTGAGTACATTATTCAACATATTATTTCCTATTCCACAGTCTTGTTGTTCTGTTTCTCATTACCTTTCATTTCTTACTGCCACTTAGGCCTTAAGACTAGGGTACTTAATATTATAGGTTAAAACCTTTAGACCAGTTCCTGGGTTGCTTTTTGAAGCTACACGTATTGCAAATCTGTGACGAATATTTGCTATATTGTTTCACTTTCTATTGTTCCTTTTTTAGCCAAGCAATGCCCCACCCGGCCTTAAAAAGGGTGCTTCCTTTTCCACGTACAAGGATCTGGAGCCCCTCTTTCATGAACTGATAGTATTGCAGCATGTGCCCTTCACTCGTTTTTGCTCTCATCCGGTGCAAGCTTACAACCAGAAG